CTGCAATTTTCAGTATTTTATTTCGATCTATCAGCAAATTTCGTGGCTTCAAATCCTGATGGATAATTTTTTGTGAATGACAATATGAAACACCATGCAGAATCTGAAGCAAAATGTAATGGATAATTTTTTGTGAATGACAATATGAAACACCATGAAGAATCTGAAGCAAAATGTAATGCAAAAAGATAAATCAAAATGAACTCAGAAACTGAGAGGAAATACTTCTACAGCAAAACTATTATCTACTTCAATGACAAATCTCTAAGGCTATGTTTGGATCATGGATTTGAGTAGTGATTTGACATATTGCCAATAAATTAGCAACTGCAAAGATCTATACACCTCAATCTCCTAGGAAAATAACATAATATGACAGTAAAAAAATACATATACTTCAAGTTTGTCCATAATTATCCGTACAATATGTTAAACATTATCAATATAAAAACTTCTTTAATGCAAACAATATATATATATATGTATCCAAGGGATCAGTACAATTAACAAGAATCCTATTTGTGTGTGTGTGAGAGAGAGAGAGAAACTGACACCCAATGTTATGTGGTACATGAACTCCAATAAAGAAAATAGCATCATTCTTTGTAAGTTAACTGCATAAAAATCAATGTGGCTGAAAGAGGCTCACTTTTATGATTTGTGGGTCCTTTGCGGTTGATGGGAATTTACGCATGAACTCCCATAGGTTGAATTCCAAATACTCGAGAACGAGAAGTATTTTGTTTTTTTGATGTTGTACATCCAGCAGCCTGGAAAACCAAAACTCCATCAAAGAATTTGTCCATAGAATTCCATAAAATCATAGAAAATGACACATCATTAGTCCATCACTTCAAAGAAAACAGAAAAAGTTCAAAACAAAAATTAAAAAATCCAAATACCAATTGGTCATTACACACGGGGAATGACATGAAGCAAAGGAAAATATCGCTTTGAATCAATTGTATCCTATTGTTCTATGTTTTCTTGATTTTTGCAAAAAATGTTTAATCTCATGTTTTTTTTTATTATCAGTTAGTGAAATAATTATCTGAAACATTATTATGTAAAATTGATAATGTTCTTAATTTTAAAAATTAGAAAAAACCAATAATATTCTCAGTTTTACTAAATATGACTTATTAGCTCAAAAAATTTTATATAGGACCTGAATTACCATAACGTTTGTAAATTGGACTTTTAGGTAATTAATTCTAGAAAAAATGATTACTCTAATTAAAATCGGTGAGATATAAAATAATCATAAAATAAATTTAAGAAATCATACATACACAATATATATATATATATATAAAGATTTACATTATGGCTCCTTTTGTTTTGATGCAAAATGTTTATGTAAAAAATATTTTATTAATTTTCTGTTGTTTGGTTAAGCAAAAAGTAAGTAAAACATTTTAAAAAAAAAAAATATTTTTGCATCATTTTCTAAAAAATGACATATCTTTAAAATTTTCGTAAGTCAATTTTTACAAAGTTGACTCTCATTCATTACCTTTTCAACATATTAGCCTTCTTAAATAAATATCTTCACTTACTAAAAATTCATAAATAATACTTTATTGAATCAAAATTTCTCTTTTTAGGCAATAGAATGTTTTTGTTTCAAGTGTCAACAAAATGCCGAAAAGCAAAACAAAAACATTTTTTTTTTTATGTAAAATCAATTTATAGGAAAAATATTTTTTGTGTAAAATATTTTATGTTGAAACAAACAGAGCCTATGTTCAAAAAACAATTATAACTCTTTCACAATTAAAGCTACAAACGAACCATGATGTTTTTGAACAACTCGAGCGTGGTTCGTTTAAAACTCATTTGAGTTTGTTTCGCTTATTAAATGAATGAGCTCAAACTCAATTTTTAGACTTGTTTATTGATTAAGGTGTCTCAAGCTCAACTCGGTAAGACTCGTGAATATAAAAAAATTAAATTAATATTTATTTTTAATAAGGCTCGTGAATATAAAAAAATTAAATTAATATTTATTTTTAATGATATATCAAATAAATTTTTATTATTTTATTTTATTTTTCTATTTGTGTTTGATGTTTTTGTAAATTTACATATTTGAATTATGAAATTTATTATCAATATAAGCATTCTTGTGTATTTTGCACATAATTTTATATTTTTATCAATAAGTGAATTAATTTAAATTTAATAATTTTTTTTTTCAAGTTCGAATTCAAGTTCAAATTCAACTCACTTATGTAATCGAGTTGGCTCGAACTGAACTCACGTTTCTCAAATATTTGACAAGCCGTTCAAACTAGATTATTTAAGCTTGACATGAGCTTCGCTCGAGCTCAAACTTGACTAATTTTTAATAAACAAGATTGAACACTAAAAAAACTCAATTTGGGTTGATTCAACCTTATTCACATTACATAAAGTGTTTCTCATCTATTTAAAAGTATAAAAATTAAGATAAAAAAAAAAAACAGAAAATTACAAAAGTATATAAAAAATTCGGACCCCCAAACCTTTTATTGGACCCAAGACTTAGGCCAAGTTTGGCTAAACTAAAAAAGTACACTTATTTCATCTTTTTTAGGTCATATCAATCAACATCTCCTCTCTACTTTTTCTACACATAATACAAGAAAAGTCAAAAAGTACACTTATTTAGTCTTTCCAAACTTGGCCTTAATATTCGGAACTTACTAAGATTCACACTACCCGATAGTCACACAAATTGAACCAATGCCTTGACCACTTCAGTTGAGCCAAAGCAATAAAAACAAAAACAAAAACAAATATATCTTCATTGTACTTGTCATTATGTCATATGCCTTAACCACTTCACACTACAAGAAAAGTGGGTTTAAAAGACGGAAGCATTTGCAACGGTAAACTTGTTGTCACAAAAAGTGACGTTTGGCAACAACACAACTTGTCGTCGCGAAAAAGGTGACTTTTTGAGACGGTGATATTTGCTGTCGCGGAAAAATAGAGTATTTGCGACGGCAAAAAATGCTGTCGCGAAAAAGGTGAGTATTTGCGACGGCAGAAATTGTTGTCGCAAAAAGTGAGAGTATTTGTGACGGCAGAAATTGCGGTCGCAAAAAATGAGAGTATTTGTGATGGCACTAGCTGCAGTCGCAAAAAAAAGTGAGTTTTTTGCGATTGTAATAGGTATCGTTGCAAAAAAAAAAAAAATTTAAAAATATTCATTTGAATTGAATTTTTTATTTTTCGTATTTTTTTTTTGTTTTTAGTGAATATTTTTAAAATTTTAAGCATTTTTTTACTTTTTTAGATACATCTTACTTAGATGTGTCTAAAAAGTAAAATATTTGTGAAAAAATATTTTTAAAAATTAATAAATACGCTAAAATATGAAAAATGTACTGAATTTTTGTTTTTGTTTTTTTGTTTTTTTGTATTTTTGGTATTTAGTGAATTTTGTTTAAAAAAAAAAATGTCAAACATTATACATACTATTTAAGTGTATTTATGTTAGGTGTATCTAAAAATTAAAAAAAATTACTTAAAATATTAAAAAAATTCAGTAAAAATAAAAAAATACAAAAAATAAGAAAGTATAATTTTTTGAAAAGTTTTTTAAAAAACTCAAACCAAGCAAAGTGATTGTGGCTTTGAGATGGCTTCATATATATAGTCACAAAATGATTTGAATAAATGCAACGGTATTTTTCTGTCACAAAAAAATTAAAAAAAATGACGTTGTCTTACTCTTTTGATATAACATTTCTCTTTTCACCAATTTTTTCATCTCCATGTCTCTCTGTCTCTGTCTCTCGTTCATCTCTTTTCTCTATATCTCTCTTGCTCATCTCTCTTCTATCTCTGTTTGTCTTGCTCATCTCTCTTTTCTCTCTTTTTCTATGTTTCTCTCTCGTTCAACTCTTTTCGCTCTCTTTCTCTCTTTCTTTGTCTATCTCTCACTCATTTATTGTTTCTCTCTCTTTTTTTGTCTCTCTTTCTCTCCTTGTTTCTCTCTCTCGCTCATCACTCTTTTCTCTTTTTTTCTCTCTTTGTCTGCCTGTTTGTTTGTCTGTTTGTCTGTCTCTTTCCCATTATGTTCGCCTTGCTCACTCTCTTCCTTCCATTTCTTCTCTATTTACCGTGCTCCCTCTCAATTTATCAATCTACTACAAGAAAATGCATTTTTAGCGACCACTTTGTCTCCCTCTCACTCTCTTTCTCCCCTCTTCTAGTCAATAAATTGTAACAAGAGTGAATGGTTTAGATCGCCGAAATCAATTTCAAAATGAGCCCACAAAATCCAAAGTTGACATAACCAAATTAAGAGAATCGAAACTCTTTCCAAGGTTGAGGTGGTGGCCAGGTTTGGTTTGATTTTCTGAAACTTGATTCGAATTTCTTTTTTAAAGACTAAAAATTAGTTTTATGAAAAAATTTAAAAAATCAAAACTATCATACTTGTCAATTTAATATAATTTTACGAAGGATATGATCAGTTTGTTTGGTTTAGATTTCTAATATTTATTTTTCATAAAATTAAAATTTTTTATTTTATGTGTGTGTTTTTTATTTTATTTGATTTTTATGTTTTCACTAATTTTTTTTTTTAATATTCTAAGCATTTTTTTTTAATTTTTAAATACACCACACATAAATACACTTTAAAAATATAATATTTTTGATTTTTTTTTTATAAAATTCACTAAATTCTATATATATATATATATATGAAAATTTAGTACATTTTTCATATTCTTGTGCATTTATTAATTTTTTAAATTTTTTTGGACAAATATTTTACTTTTTAGATACATATAAGTAAGGTGCATCTAAAAATATAAAAAATAAAAATTGCTTAAAATTTTAAAAATTCACTAAAAATAAAAATAAAAATGAAAAAATAAAAACTCAATTTTCAAGAAATTGAATCAAAAAAACTGAAACCAAACAATTTTTTAAAATTCAAAAATATATTTTTTAAAAGAAAATCAACCAAACATATCTCAATTTTTTACCTCCCTCCCAAATTTCCCAATGTTCGAATTTCCCACAAAACCCTATCTCTCTGATTTCGTTTTCCCTCTCTCTCTTTTCATGCTCAACTCTAATGCCTTTCTTCGTGCGATTCATCATTTTCCTAAGTTCTCCCCACCCCACCTTCACGCAACTCATCTTCGTGCAATTCGCCGATGAGCATGGCTTCTCGTCATCACCGGCCTCTCCATAATAATTGGTGTGTATATCCTTCTATTTCTCTCTCTCAGTAAACCCTAACATTTATATATATATATATATATTATATTTGCCCTAGCCCCTTCACAAACACTGATCGGTCTCTTCGCTCTCTCTATCTCTCTCTCACAGTAATATGCCTGGTAAGAATCTTGAATGTACTCTCTTCGATTTCTTCTTTCGAATTTTAGCCCCTATTCTCTAATCAATTTCGGCTTTATTTATTTATTTTGAATTTTTCTCTGTATCAGTTTTTGTCGATTGATGCAATATGTTCCTTCTTTATTTTGTCAGAATTCATATTCAATTTGATGGGTTGTTAAATTATATATATTTATTTATGTTCAGCTATTTTTTTCGTTGGATTTCGCGGGGGTTTGTGTATGGATTTGTAGTGATTGAGCTCTGAGAGTAAGTTGATTAATCACTTTTTTATAGCTTCGATTTGCTGTGTTTTTGTTTTTTGTTTTTCTTTCTGTGATAGTTCATTTTTCATTTGGTTGCTGAGAAAAGGAAATAAGAAAATTCAATAAGAGATTTGCTTAGATTTTCTTTTGCCCTATCTATATTTTGGTCAAATTTATGTTTGTTTTTTCTGATTTGATCATTGTTCTTTGATCTTTATTTCAAGAAAACTTTATTAATGTAATGTATGGTAGTGTGTATGGATGGGTATGGTGCACATAAATCATCTCATGCAACATATATGACATTCTGTGCCTGCTGTGTTTGTTCCTATTTTATGGCTGGTAACATTTACTGTATGTTCTTGCTAAATCATCTGGATTCTAACATTTTTTAACTTTAGAGATTTCTTGATCATGCCAATTGTGAGGAGAAATCACCGGAATTGAGAGGGTCGGAAGCTCATACCAGGGAGCCGGTATGTTTTTAATATTTGTTGTATGTTAATATGTTATTGATGACGTAATGTTTTTAATCTTTCTAATTAAGATTTTGGACTTGTCATTTGCATTTTTCACAGCCTTTGCTGATGCAAATCCGTTTGTTTTACAATGGACGTGCTGTCAAGGGCACCCTTCTTGTCAATAGAAAGGTATGTATTGCCAATTTTTTCGAATGTATTTTAATCTTGGCATGTGGACATATTTTAATTCTAAAGGTGCTGCTAGATTCTGGCCTTGTCAAACCTAATTTAGTTCCTAACTTACTTGGCCATCCAAATTGGCTGGCAGCAATTGTGATGCTATGAAAAATTGAAAATATATAGTTATAATTTGATATTTTATTTTTGTGGTTGGGGATGTTATATGGATAATTTTTAGTTACTATTTTCTGTTTTTTATTCATTATTTGTTATTCAGTTTGTGGATGAAGAATTTAAACAAATGAAATGAAAATATTATCATTTCTGCTTATCTTAATAGTTATAGTTTTCCCCTGTCCTCCATCCTCCAAAGGCAAAAATTTCTATCCCTGTTTTTTACTTCACCCAAATCAAATGAATTATAAGGAATGGCAATAAGATTGGGTACCAGATGCTGCCACCCCTGCCTTCTTTACCCAAACTTGCTCTGCTCCCACTATGTTTGAGCTCACCCTGTTTTGGCCCATAACTATTCACGGATTTCCTTATCTTTGTTGCCCTCACAACACAAATTATTCCTTCATATTTTGTACCACTTCACATAGACATGATTATTATAAACGAACTGAGATCAAATGATTGTGACTGTCAAACATGATGTCAGGGTCATAAAATCTTTAGAAAGAAATTTGAGAAATAGAAATCCAACCATTTATTTGACAGTGTGCTTTAGTGGCAATAGAGTTGTTGATGATGGTGGAGACGTGAGCTGTGGATAATAGGTTATGGAAAAATCAATTAGTTTCCTTATGTTCCAAAAAGGAAGAGTTTGTTGTAAACATTTTGTTAATCACTGTATTGTTGCTATTGACAATATTCTCACTTTTGAATTACAAGTTTAAGTTTTTGCCTCTATTTTTTTTTTATTTTTTATTTTTTACTTAAAGTTTTTAAGTTGACAAATTTCCTCTTAAATATTTGCAGCTTCCAGAAAAAACAATTCAGGTTATGTCTTCAATGATAAAGGTTGAGGCAGATTCAAGACTCTCAAATGTGCAAACTTTTAACTCACTGGAGATAGTTGGAATTAGGTATTGAACTGCATCATTGAACAATTTTAAGCTAGTAACATTTTCATTTATTTGTTGAACATACTTATAAAGCTCTTGGAACATATTAGAGGGTTCTCACAAGTCATATTGGTGTTAATTCTTACCTTGAAAATGCTTCTTTGCCTAAAAGATACATTAATCTCTTGTAGGTGGAATCAACAATAGAACACATCTGTCGTCATGAAAGTGATGGAGCCATTCTTGTATTCCTCACTGGTTGGGATGACATTTCTAAGCTACTTGAAAAAAATTAAAGCACACAGTTTACTTAGAGATCCCAGCAAGTTTTCTTGTTCTTCCTCTTCATGGTTCAATGCCTACCATCAATCAATGTGAAATATTTGATCGCCCACATGCCAATGTGAGGTATCCATCTTTCTTGTTGAGGTTCTATCTTTTGGTAAAGATTTATGATACTTTTTTATTTTTTATTTTTATCCTTAGCGAATGAATTAAATTTATTTTTAGCATTTGGATTTTTTCCAAAGTCATATTTTTTTCTTGTCTCTTCAATTGCTTAGCTGTGTACTAACTTATGGTGATTCGCCATCAAGGATAGTTTTTTGTTCATAGTTGAAGTGTACCATGTGGCGTAGATTTGCCATAGGGTTATTTTTCATTTGATGTATGCTTGTTTCCATTTCGTTAGGAGATAGTGTCTTCATTTTCATTTCTTCACAAATTGACTCTAAAGTTCTAAGTGGATGATTAAACAGGGGATGATGGTTGAATTTGCAAAGAATGTGGCTGATTTTGCTACTGCTAGTGGAAAAAAGCACATTGTTGTGCTTTCTAGCTTAGATTTTGGACGATGGCAAACAATTGATATGTCAAGGTACTAACAACTGCAATGTTTTCTTTGATCATTTTAGCTTCTTGACCACTCTCTCTCTCTCTCACAGTTTCTTTTTCTTTTTTTTCTGCTGTAACTATTCCCTTTCATTTACATTTTTTTCTTTGAGAAATTTGCTGTTAGTATTTTAATTTTCATATTTGAAAATCCTGCAAACCACCCCAATTCATTTTTAATTGGTTATTGACACCATAGAAACATGGAAATTGGTATATAAAAATCATTTGACAAAATGCATGATTCTGCAGATATCAAATATTGTGAGATTAAAAAATAACTGGAACTCATAAAAAGCAAAGATATTCCTTATTCTAACAATCATTCATGTAAAAACTGATTCAATGATCATCTTTTTGAACTCTTTTACCTGTGCAAAAGTGTATTAACCAGCTAGGTCCATTGTGTAGAGTTGACTAAGCCATTGACAACATTACTTTGATTACTTGGTGATTTGTTTCGAATCGGGTTCTCAGTTTAGGAGTTAGAGTCGGATTTTACTCTAGGCAAACTAGTTCATTAAGAAACTTAGCATTTGAGGTGTTGACGCCCCAAAATCACCAAACGGCATCGGATTAGCACGAAACTTGGCACACACGACTGCCTAGGCACGAGAAACTTGTGGGAGAAGATGAGACTCGAATTAGGTTCCTGGCTTGGGAGTTAGAGCCGGATTTCACTCTAGGCAAACTAATTCCTTAAGAAACTTGAATTCGAGGTGTTGAAGCCCCAAAATCACCAAACAACGTCGAATTAGCATGAAACTTGGCACACATGACCGCATAGGTACGAGAGACTTGTGGAAGAAGACGGGACTTGAATCGGGTTCCCAGTTTGGGAGATGAGTCAAATTTCACTCTAGGCAAACTAGTTCCTTAAGAAATTTAGCATTTGAGGTGTTGACGCCCCAAAATCACCAAACGCCGTTGGATTAGCACAAAACTTGGCACACACGACTGCCTAGACACGAGAGACTTGTGGGAGAAGGCGGGACTCGAATCGGGTTCCCGGTATGGGAGTTAGAGCCGGATTTCACTCTAGGCAAACTAGTTCCTTAAGAAATTTGAATTCAAGGTGTTGACACCCCAAAATCACCAAACAGCGTCAGAGTAGCACGAAACTTGGCACACACGATTGCTTAGTCACGAGAGACTTGTGGGAGAAGACGGGACTCAAATCAGGTTTCCGGTTTGAGAGTTACAGCCGGATTTCACTTTTAAAAAACTTAGAATTTGAGATGTTAATGCCCCAAAATCACCAACCGGCGTCGGAGTAGCACGAAACTTGGCACACACGATCGCCTAGGCACGAGAGACTTGTGGGAGAAGACGGGACTTGAATCGAATTCCTGGTTTGGGAGTTAGAGTCGGATTTCACTCTTAAGAAACAAACTAGTTTCAAGAAATTTAGAATTCGAGGTGTTAATGTCCCAAAATCACCAAACGACGTTGAAGTAACACGAAACTTGGTACACATGACCACCTAGGCACGAGAGACTTGTGGGAGAAGACGGAACTTGAATCGGGTTCCCGGTTTGGGAGTTAAAGTCGGATTTCGGTCTAGGCAAAATTATTTACATAATTATCTTTTTAATTGTATAGTAGTTAAATTTTTATGTTTTTTTTTTTTTTTGTAATTAACATATTAACACATAATTATATTGTCATTAATTATTTTTATTTTTTGTTTTCAGATATTTTTCGAGTAGGAGTTTGCTTCTTGTAGAATGCATGTCTGTGAAAAATGTGACTAACTTATGTTTTTGTTACTCACGGAGAATGATGAGCAAAACTTGTAAGTTTGGTTTATGTTATTTTGAATTATGAACAACATTATGCATTTAAACATTATATATGTATTATGGAACATTATGTAGTGGGGTAATTTTGTTGATGTGTAATTATGAATGCAAGAATATTTTTATTATGGAGAAATTATTTTTTTTATACAGGAATTTTTATATCATTATGCAATTATTGGTTTCTTTTTCAATTGCTTTTCATTTAATAAAGGTAATTTTAATATTTTTAATAATTTTATTGTAGGATTTTTATTATTTTATTATTTTTTATTTTTGGCGACGGCACCATGTTGTCCCAAAAAACTTGTAATTTTAATTTTTTAATAATTATATTGTTTTTTTTTTTTTTTGCGACGGCATTTTTGTTGTCTCAAATAAAAATTTTAGCGATAGTAGGCACGCCGTTGCGACAGTATTTTTTGCTGTCTCAAATAGAATTTTTACCGACGGTAGAATGGTGTCGTCGCAAAAGGTTTGACTTTTTTACATATTATATGTGCCAGTTAATTGTCGTCGCAAAAGGTAACATTTGCTGTCACAAAAAAAAAAGGCGACGGTGCTTAAAGGTTTTTGCAACGCCCTCTGTTGTGACGTCCCCTTTGCTGTTGCTAAAATTCATTTGCCGTCGCTAAAATTTTTTTGAGACGACATTAAGAGTATTAGCGACGGCACCATGCTGTTGCAAAAACCTGAATTTTTGTAGTGTCAGTTGAGCCAAAGAAATAAAAAATAAAAAAAATAAAAAAAATCAGACATTCACTATAAAATTAGATCAACAAATCAATGGTTCCAAAGGCTACTATTTCCATAAAAGATTGCTATTTTGTCTATATATTATCTTTATTACGTTAATTATAATGAGAATATCAACAAAGTTGTGTTGCATAATTTTTTTAAAAAATAACAAGTCCTGTCACCGTGTTGTACAAAAAGATATTATACATGTTTGTGCAACTTAAAATACGAGTGATATTTTCAAGGGACATGAAAATGATCTATTCTCAATGAATCATGTGATATATCAACCAAAGAATAGAAGTGCCACAGAAGTCTCAAAACTTTGATTACGAGAAACAATGAATTTGCTTTTTATGTTTTTGCTTGGAGTAATATTACGAACCCACCTTTATTAATTTAGAAATTATCCAGTATTTTTATTTTATGATTCAGATTTATTTTACACATGGATTGCATACTATACAAATTTAATCCTTACCATACAATCATTCACTCAAAAAAATTCTAGATCGGTAAATCTGAGTTCCTAGAATTTTCCATGCCTTTTATGTTTGTTGCTTTGCTTATTAGCTTCAATTGATTCTTTTAGCTAGCGCCGACTTAAAGTCAAAGTCAGTAAATACCTGTTTGGCGCAGCTTAAAACTGTTTATTTTAACTTTTTGCATAATTTAAGCTAAAATATTGTGTTTGGTGTAACTTAATTTAAGTCATTTTTAGCTTATTTTGGAAAGAAGCTCAGGGGTGCTTATAAAAAATGACTTATGTGCGCAGCTGGTAAGAGGGGACTGAAATGACTTAAATGCCCATTCAAAATTAAGGAAATTACAAAACTGCCATTATATATACCCTCTTCTCAATTGCCCTAACGCTCTCTTCTCCTCTTCCACTCTCCTCTCCTCTCTGGCAACCGACGACGAACTCCTCCACATCTCCAAGATCGCA